CTGAACATGTTGTTATTCATAGTTTCACGCTATGTGATCTTCAGACAACTAAAACAGAACCTGAAACATGTTGTTACTAAGAGTTCACGCTGTGTGATCTTCAGACAACTAAAACAGAACCTGAAACATGTTGTTACATAGAGTTACACACTGTGTGATCTTCAGACAACTAAAACAGAACCTGAAACATGTTGTTACATAGAGTTACACACTGTGTGATCTTCAGACAACTAAAACAGAACCTGAAACATGTTGTTATTCAGAGTTCACGCTGTGTGATCTTCAGACAACTAAAACAGAACCTGAAACATGTTGTTACTCAGAGTTTCACGCTATACGATCTTCAGACAACTAAAACAGAACCTGAAACATGTTGTTACTCAGAGTTTCATGCTATGCGATATTCAGACAACTAAAACAGAACCTGAAACATGTTGTTACTCAGAGTTTCACACTATGTGATCTTCAGACAACTAAAACAGAACCTGAAACATGTTGTTACTAAGAGTTTCACACTATGTGATCTTCAGACAACTAAAACAGAACCTGAAACATGTTGTTACTCAGAGTTTCACACTATGTGATCTTCAGACAACTAAAACAGAACCTGAAACATGTTGTTACTAAGAGTTTCACACTATGTGATCTTCAGACAACTAAAACAGAACCTGAAACATGTTGTTACTAAGAGTTTCACACTATGTGATCCTCAGACAACTAAAACAGAACCTGAAACATGTTGTTACTCAGAGTTTCATGCTATGCGATATTCAGACAACTAAAACAGAACCTGAAACATGTTGTTACTCAGAGTTTCACACTATGTGATCTTCAGACAACTAAAACAGAACCTGAAACATGTTGTTACTAAGAGTTCACACTGTGTGATCTTCAGACAACTAAAACAGAACCTGAAACATGTTGTTACTCAGAGTTTCATGCTATGCGATATTCAGACAACTAAAACAGAACCTGAAACATGTTGTTACTCAGAGTTACACACTGTGTGATCTTCAGACAACTAAAACAGAACCTGAAACATGTTGTTACTCTGAGTTTCACGTTATACGATCTTCAGACAACTAAAACAGAACCTGAAACATGTTGTTATTCAGAGTTTCATGCTATGTGATCTTCAGACAACTAAAACAGAACCTGAAACATGTTGTTACTCAGAGTTTCACGCTATACGATCTTCAGACAACTAAAACAGAACCTGAAATATGTTGTTACTCAGAGTTTCACACTGTGTGATCTTCAGACAACTAAAACAGAACCTGAAACATGTTGTTACTAAGAGTTCACACTGTGTGATCTTCAGACAACTAAAACAGAACCTGAAACATGTTGTTACTCAGAGTTTCACACTATGTGATCTCAGACAACT